CCTTAGACGGGCAATGCGTCCATTGGCAGCCAGATTTATTGCAGCTTAGTGAAAGTTTCGAATAATTGCTATGAGCTGATTTCAAAATAATGAAGTCACCACTGGTGATGGTTTTTCTGCGGGCTTAAAGCAAAATTCACAAAATGTCAATCGTTGTAAAAACGGTTTCTAATCTTTCAAAGATTCGAAAATGTTTTGGGAGAACGCATTGAGTACAGCAAATCATAGTCTTCAAAAATGAATTAAAAACAATTTACACTCTGCTACTTACCATTGTTGTTCGAAGCCGATTTAGCAGCCACTGAACAGCTTACACAGGCCGCTAAGAAAAGTCCCACGAAAATTGCCAAGCTTAAAAACTTCATTCTTAGGCTTAATTTACTGATGTGGTTAAAAGTTCCAAATAATAATTTCAGTAAAGATGATGTGGGGCTAAGAATAAGCTGTCTTTGTGTGTAAAGTGTGTTGCAAAATATGTTATAAAAAATTCGCGAACGTGTTAGGTGCGCGGAAGTTAATGACACCCAAGAGGGGTCACTCTGTAGTCAAAACATTTATTGAAATAAGAAAACCGCAAGTCTAAACGGAAGCGTAGAGAGCTTATGAGTGCGATGGAGTACTAAAGGATCGGTAGAATCAAATATCTCTCGCTATACAATACTAAAAATAATTAAAAGGTTGAGAAAAGTTTTGCATCTCTTTTCCTGCTTCCCAAAGCATGATACCGATGAATTTTTCCTATCTCTTCAGGCAATTTTCTTGAAAGACTCTTAAAAAACAAAGCCAAATAACCGTACTTAAATTAAGCTCGAAATCACTAAAAATATAATCTCAGAGTCATATATCTTCGTTTATATTTTATCCCGCCGTAGCGCGATTAACGGCACACTATTGACCGGACACGAGAAGGATATTTCATCGTTATAAGTATTGATCGACACCGAAACGCAGTTCATTATTCATTATTTGTCATTGACATTCAATACAGGTAATTACACAATTTAAAATTTTGCTGAAAATTTCTTAAACTTCTGCATTTATTTCACTTCAAGGTCGACAAGACAAAAATTAGGTTCCCTCAACCAAAGCTTTTTACATTCAGGTTTGTTCTTCCCTTTCAATAAAAATGATGAGATGAAAGTAAAAACTTGAAGATGCGTCGATTGCCACTTAACAACGTCAATGATGCATTTTAGATCACTTAAATAATTTTGTTTTTTATTTCTCTTGTAATTATTTGTATGCAGATATATAAATTGACAGTTGGTTATAACCGAAAATCGTCCTGTAAATATTATAGTATTTTTGTTAGTAAATATTAAGTATACTGCATCGTGAAAATCCCCGGCCCACTGCGGCCTACCTCTCCAGATCATGAAGCAGGCACGTTTCATCCTTGAAGTTTTCTAAAACCATTGTAAGTGGTACAGTGATTTTTCGCGCAGTACTGACAGACTAGGGAAATGACCTAACGTTGTTTTCTCGCGCTACCCTGGTCCCGGAGGTTTTTCTTGAAATTCGTTGTCGCCGATTCGCAGCTAGCTTTCTCTTTGTCGCGAAGAAAAATTTCAAAAAAAAGCTCTGGAACCAGGGTACGCTCCCGCCCTTTTGAGAGAAAATTTAGTTTAGCCTGCGTGGTCGGAGGTAAATAACCATATCGCAGTATTTGTACGAAACTTTTATTTTTCTTTTTTTTGTAATTATTTATATACAGACTCAATATATAAATTGACAGAAATTTAGTTCACTGCAAATAAAATCCTCCTGTAAATATAGTATTTTTGTTAGTAAATATATACAGTAATGTATACTGCATCATGTATATCCCCACTGAAGCCCACCTCGATTAGAGCCTATTTGTGGGCTACAGAGCCGGGAAGTGTAACGCTTCCAGAGATAAGTCTTTGGCACCCAGGGTACCGTATTTATTTGATTAAACTCCTCATGGGAAACGCAAAAAATTTAATAAATGCCTTGGCGTCTAATCGAATAAATACAATGTTCCCGAACTTGTTGGACTCTTTTCGGTCTATATCGGCTTCTCTCGCCAACTTGAATGGCTAGCAACTTGACCGAGCATGATCCGCATGACTCCCCTGACATGCTCGTTTCTAGTCACATTTTGGCATGACAGTCCCATCATGACTGAAGATTGACTCGATTACTGGAAGGAACAAGACGCATACTTACTGACTGATTATCAGCTGGCAATGTAACCATCTTCGGATAACCAACCGAATTTCCAATTTTTAATATTCGACAGCAAATATTCCTCATAAGAAATTAAAAAACATTACGCTGGTTGAGTGAAAAAATAAGTAAATAAAAAAAGGTCTGAAGCTGTTCATCATGAAAAGAACACTTTTTAAGAAAAATGCAAATATAAGCTACGTAGTTCATATTGTAAAAATGAATAACTTCAATCTCCAGCCCCCACCCCTCTGGCCCGCGTACAGACGCCCTTAGATCTTGAAACTTCAGCTCTTGAAGATTTTGAAGCCGGTGAAACTGTCCTCTTTTGCGCAAGAGGTTTTGTCGTTTCTGCTACAGCTACGCGGATAAAGGAATTTGCCACTTTTGGTCAGCCATGCTTTGCCGGAGCAGTGTAAGTACTTGAGTCCCACCACATCGCCATTGTGGATGGGAGTAGAATCCTCTGCCTCTTTGGAGAATATTTGAAAAGTGGCGTTGTCGTATCTCAGCCAGTTGTTTCCTTTCATGTCGCCTTTAATGCTAGAGAAAAAAGTGGCAAAAGGAGGTCAAAAAGCTATAATCAATTGACTAAATATCTAGCAGTCAAGTTTGGGTTGACCCAAGTAAAACCACTTTTGCCTATGAGTTCTTAATACTGACCAAGAGAGAAACTGTGCCAACTGACTAAGAGCAAAATTGTACAGGCCGAAAGTCAACTATAGACATCAGTTTCATCTTCTCGTCCGATGGTGCCTGAGTTAAATTTCGAAGAAGAGCTGATGCAGTGTTTAAATTTAAAGCTGAATACTTACGAAGCCAAATGGCACTGCGTGGTTGAAGATTTGCCACAAGTCAGCTTGTCCTGAGGACCGTACTTTCTAACGGTCAGCGACACTTTTTCCCCGCTTTTGATGGGCTTTCCCAGCGTTTCTCCTCTGGCTGTTATTTTGAACTCCACATTCTCAGGTGAGCAGGACGACGAAACCTCAGCATCATTAGACGGGCAATGCGTCCATTGGCAGCCAGATTTATTGCAGCTTAGTGAAAGTTTCGAATAATTGCTATGAGCTGATTTCAAAATAATGAAGTCACCACTGGTGATGGTTTTTCTGCGGGCTTAAAGAAAAATTCACAAAATGTCAATCGTTGTAAAAACGGTTTCTAATCTTTCAAAGATTCGAAAATGTTTTGGGAGAACGCATTGAGTACAGCAAATCATAGTCTTCAAAAATGAATTAAAAACAATTTACACTCTGCTACTTACCATTGTTGTTCGAAGCCGATTTAGCAGCCACTGAACAGCTTACACAGGCCGCTAAGAAAAGTCCCACGAAAATTGCCAAGCTTAAAAACTTCATTCTTAGGCTTAATTTACTGATGTGGTTAAAAGTTCCAAATAATAATTTCAGTAAAGATGATGTGGGGCTAAGAATAAGCTGTCTTTGTGTGTAAAGTGTGTTGCAAAA